TTGCTCCCCTTCCAACGTCAACCAAGCTCAGATCCCAAGCGGGTAGCTTGGCAAGGCGTGAAGGTGAATTATCCGAGGCCAGCTGCCACCCACCGTGCAGTCGCCCGAAGCTCCTTGGACGCTTTCATTTCCTACGCCGTTTTGATTCCTGCGTTTCGGAAATGACGATGGCTAGCCTTTTGGGGGCTTGGGGCTTTTATGGTTTCAACAAGTACCACCCGTCACCAAAAACACGGAAATTGCGTGCTCGCTTCTGGAACATCATCTTCCCGGTGCATGTTGCGGGGTACCTGGCGAGGGTCGAGTCAGTGTGCCCAGGCCGAACGCCGAGGGCTCACCTTGTCGCTGTACGGGCGGCTGGTCAAGGATGGTTCGAGTCGTGGACGTGCAATGTACACGGATTCTGGATGCGCGCTGGACTTCGCGGTTTTTTCCTTCTGGGATTTTTCGCTTGTGCTTGGCCCTTGCCGACTTCGCCAGCTTCATTCAGCCCTTGCCTTTGTTTTTTTCTTCCAGGAGGGGGTGGAGCCCTTCTTCCTGGACACGCAGTTCCGGGCGCATCCCAAGCTCATGGAGTGGGTGGCCGGCTCCATCTACGAGAACCGGCTGCGGAGCGGCATCCCGGACAGCGCGCGCCCGGCCGTGGAGGGCTTCGAGTGGCCCAGGAAGAAGGCCGAAGCGGCCGCCTTTTTGGTTTGGGGAGGTTTGGGGGATGGCCGTTTTGGGGTGCCATCTTAACTTTATGAGGTTGCTTTAGGCGACTTGCTGGCTTTTTTTCCCCAAACAGCAGTTTACTGTGAGGGGTTCTAAATTCATTTAAAGTGACTCGCCTATTGCCAAGCCATAGCCTGGACGCCTGGCACGCCTCTCTGGGTGGACGGGTTCATTTGCCTCCCTTTGTCTCCCTTCATTTGTCTCCCGTTGTCTCCCAGCCTGGATGCCTGGCACGGCTCTCTGAGTGGATGGGTTCATTTGCCTCCCTTTGTCTCCCTTCATTTGTCCCCCGTCTGGCACAGCTCTCTGGATGCCTGGCACGGCGCTCTGGGTGGACGGGTTCATTTGTCTCCCTTTGTCTCATTTGTCTCCCGTTGTCTCCCAGCTGGATGCCTGGCACACCTCTTCATTCGCTTTGTCTCCCTTCATTTGTCTCCCGTTGTCTCCCAGCCTGGATGCCTGGGTGGACGGGTTCGTTTGTCTCCCTTTGTCTCCCTCACGGCTCTCTGGGTGGACGGGTTCATTTGCCTCCCTTCATTTGGATGCCTGGCACGGCTCTGGGTGGACGGGTTCATTTGTCTCCCTTTGTCTCATTTGTCTCCCGTTGTCTCCCAGCCTGGCCTGGCACGGCTCTCGTGGAGGGGTTGATTTGTCTCTCTTTGCAGCTGGATGCCTGGCACGGCTCTCTGAATAAACGGTTCATTTGTCTCGCTTGTCTCCCTTCATTTGTCTCCCGTTGTCTCCCAGCCTGGATGCCTGGCACGGCTCTACGGGTTCATTTGTTTCGCTTTGTCCCCCTTGATTTGTCTAGCGTGGATGCCTGGCTGGGTGGACTCCCGCCTGGACGGGTTCATTTGTCTCCCTTTGTCTCCCTTCATTTGTTTCCCGTTGTTCCTGGATGGCTGGCACGGCTGTCTGGGTCAACGGTCGCGATATCTCCCAGCCTGGATCTGGGACGGCTCTCTGGGTGGACGGGTTCATTTGTCTCCCGCCCGCGCGTTTACGTGGCCTTAATTTGTCAAATCCCCACAGATGGTCGCCGTGACTCCAAAAAATACGGCGAAGCCGCGCTAGCCGCGCACTAGCGAGGCGCTAGCACAGTGATCAGCTGTGCAGTTATGCCTCAATGCAAATTTGCTTCCGCTCGCCTCGCATGGAATTACCATGGCATGGGATTTGCTGCACAGACGGGGGACAAAACGGCTGAGGCAAGAAGGCAGGGATGCCTTGTACCGAGCATACCGTAGAATAGGGTTGCGTATTTCCCTGCGAAAGCAATTGCTTTACTGAATCGATACGAAGAGTTGCCACAATACGATAAAGGCACTTTAGAGCGTTCTATCGAGCCCGTTCTATCGAGCAACAGATTGCTCGATACGAAAGACACTGTGCAGCCAAGCGAGAAAGAAGCGCAATGCGCCGGAAAACTTTTGCTAAGATGAAGCCTGTAAATGCTGGAGACGCACCCGATACTGATAGTATTAGCAGTAGTAAGCGGCAGCAACAGGAGCAGCAGGCTCGCGCGCTAGCAACGTGTTGCTAAATTGCTAGATTGATCGCATACGAACGCTGTTTTCCTACTTGGAACATGCATATATAACACAAGCGTTGTTCAAGGCAGAGCCCCATGGACTAGCGCCTCACAGCCGGCTTCGGGAACTCGATTCATGTGTCGCACAGGCGTGCAGAGAATGTAAACTCCACGTCAGCACATTTTTGTTGTCCAGGTGAACGCATGTGTGCTGCACAGTTGTGTTGCACATGTTTCTCTCTCCACATGTGCACATACGTGTGTTCCATGTGTACACATGTGTGTGTTACAAGTCAGCGCAGTTTGTTATTGTTAAACAGCTAAACATGTTTGGGTGATCCAGGTCTGCGCAAGTGTTGCGCGTGAACACAAATGCCTGTTCCAAGTGAGCGCATGTATGGGTTCCCGGTGAGCACACATGTGTGTTGCAGGTGAACAGAAATGTGCTTTCCAGACATACACACATATGTGTTCCAGGTGTACGCATGTGTGTGTGTGTGTTCCAGGAGCACATGTTTGTTATCAGACGAACACGCGTGTGTGTGTGTCACATTACTATGTTCTAGGTGGACATAATATTGCATCTGACGACGTATTTGCCCTCCAGGTGTACACATGTATGTGCTCGAAGCCTTGCTTAAATTGTGTTGGTCCGGGGCCGTAGCCTTAATAATGCTGGCCCCGCCTTGTAAAGAATACTCTAGGCTGAAACTGCGCCCTGGCGGCCCTAAAGCCTTGCGCACGCCTCAGCACACGCACGGTGTGCCAGGCTTTTCACCTTGTCAGCTGAAAAAATTGGAAGACAGCATCATTTTTTTTCGGGTTTGCCTTTTTGGGCCCAAGTTCTTATTGGGACAGGCATGGCTTTCCTTTTGCATTAATGCCAGTTTGCACCGTAAAACGATGCAGGTGACTTTGTGTGGAGCGTGAGGAAGCAACTCAGAGGACAGATGCAGCACGTGCAACACCTTTGATGGCCCTTGTGCCCAAGCTGGCACTAGAAGATATGCAGTTTCAACCAACCCGTTGCCAGCTACTTACTGAATTCGGTCCACGCCCAAGACTGCCAGGGCATGAGTTCGGAGACGCCACTTTGCCTGTCCCAAAGTGGTGTGCGCATCCTCGCAGTTTGCAAAGTTTGCGTTTTCCATCGACACTGAAGGGCGTGCGCGACAGGCATGGCTTTCCTTTTGCCAACCCGGGGGTGTTGTGTGTTGAGCTGGTCTCACATGTTTTTTTACCAGCTGTAGCCCGCGTGTGTCCCGATAAGACAAGATTATCAAACTGATTGTTTTCGAGGTGCACACATGTGTGTATGCGCTTTAGGTGAGCACTTATGTTTGCTTGCGCGTGCAGATGTGTGTGTTGCACGTGTGCACGCATGTGTGCTTTAATCGCGCACGCGGTGTTCCTGGACACATATTTGTGTTCGCCCCATATGTACACACATGTGTGCTTTAATGGCACGTGTTTGTGTTGCAGGTGAACACACGTGTGTTCCACGTGTACACACGTGTGTGTGTGTGTGCTGAATTGGACACGCGTTTCATTGTGTTCCAAGTGAACACATGTGTGTTCCGTTAGTGTCTTGTAGGTGAACACATATGTGTGTTCCAGGTGTACGCATGTGTGTGTTCTTTACAAGAAGCGCACGTTGGTTTTCCAGCTCAACACATGTATGCGTGTGCCGCAGGTGAATGTATATGTGTGCGTTCACGGCTGCACATCTGCGCGTGCCGCGTGTACTGTGTTTTGTTTCAGTCGTATACGTGTGTGTGTTCCACATGTACGCACACATGTGTGTCTGAGTTGGACATGTGTGTAGCGCGGCCACACTTGCGTTCACGCGCGCGCGCGCGCGTTCGCCCGCTATCGCACACGCTTGCCCAACCTCAGTTCCTGCGCGGCGCTGAAGCGCGAAGCCCGCCAGCAACACACGTGCAGCAACGCAACGCGTGCCGGGTTGCATCATTTTGATTCGTCCGTGTTGAAGCGCAGAGCCACAAGCTGTTGGCATGGTTTGTGCTCGCCCGTCAGTCCTCAACCGTTTGGGGTCTCTGCTGGTGTATTTTTTCAAGAACAGTAAAAGAGAGGAGAAAAACGCCCTGGTTTGTTCCACCCCCATGGATTTGGATGATGGACCAATTTTGAAGGAAACCCCTTAGGTACGCAATGTGTATTAACCCATCGTTTTTCTCCCGCCGAGGCCGCTAAATGGCAATGCAACTTTGCCCAAGTGGTTGAAACATCGAATCTGTTGTGGTTTTTGCCATGGAGGAGCTTTTTTTGACCAACCCCCACGCAAAATGTCAATCATTCAACACATTGGTACCCCTTCAGTTGTAGCTTTGAAGAGAACCCAAGAGAACCCAAGAGGACCACCACCCATTTTGGGGGGGTTTCCCCTAAAAAAGGACAGGGCCTCAAGAACTAGACTTGCTGGCCTGGTCCTTGCGGTGGTTGTATTAACCCCCACGGATTTCAACGTGGTTTGATCAACCCCAGGGTTGATCTCAGGCTCCTGGCCGGTGCCTTTGAAGCGCCAGGTGCCCGTGGCCTTTGTGGAGATGGGGCGATGGGCCTGCCCCGGGGGCTGCAAGGGGTGAATGGCCTCGTGCTTTTTCCATTTCTGTGAAATGTGGTTGGACTCAGACCACTTTGGAAGGGGAACACCTTTCATATACATAGACAGGGGGTTTTTAGGCATTCACCGCATTTGGGGTGTCGGCAATCAGCCCCTTCTTCTTCTTCTTCTTCTTCTTCTTCTGGAGAACCATCATGCGTGGTGTCAAGTGAGGGGCATCTTGGTTGGGCGCCCGCAAGATCGCGGCTCAGGTGAGTCTGAGGAGCACGAGTCGAAGATGAACCAGGCCGAGGCCGAAAAGGTCATCCACATCATCGAGCCGGGCGTTGAGCTATGTGAGGGTCAGGAGTGAACCCCCCCTCAACAGCGCACCAGCCCTCGGGGACCGAGCTGTGCCTGAGGTCAGTGCTCGCTGCGGGCTGCTCTGCTGAGGATGTGGGTGTGGTCACGCCGTACATGGCACAGGCGCAAACGGGCATCAGAGTAAGCTCCGGCTTGTTCGGTTGGGCCTTGCGATGTGGTTGAGGTGCACATGTTTCAGAGTTTGATGCACCTGGTTGATTCTGAATACTTTGGGTCTCCCTTTGGAGCAGATGGCCTTTTCCGTGCTGTGACAGGTCCGGCTGCTTCGCAGCCTGTGGAAGGCACGCTGTCAGGCCGGGTTTGATTGAGGGCGTGCTGTGCAACACCCTCTCCCCATATTCCTAGTAATTACCACCCCCCCCCCCCCGCACCCCAAGGCTGGGATGGGTTTTGGCCCACGCCCATGTCAGGACTTGGCGAAGGGCTCCAAGAAGGCGAAGAGCCACTTCAAGAATCCACGCGACTCAGCTCAGATTGCTCCTGCCTGCAAGTGGGTCTTTCCTTTTTTTGATGGTACCTTTTTGGGTGGTTTTAAAATGGAAACCTAAAGGAAACCACCTTTTTGGTGGTTCCCCCCTATTTTAAGACACGCCCAAGTGGAGTCCGTTCCCTTTTGTTCCAAGGCATCTTGGAAATCGCGAGTGGCTCGGATGCACAGCGTGCTCCGCCTGTGCGACAAGCACAGCGACTGGTTCAAGCGTGTCTAAGGTTTCCGTTGGGCCAGCCTGTTTCTGAGGTCTTTGTTTGAGGAAACCCATTTTTTTTGTGGTTTCAACATTTTTTCTGACGAAACCACATTTTTGTGGTTTCAACGGGAAACCCTTTAAAGGAGAAACAACATCTTTGGGGGGAAGCAACAGATGCCCTTCCTTCCTGCAGAAGAATGTGGATGGCGAGTGCGGCTCCAGGCGTCGACAACTTCCAGGGCCGGGAGAAGGAGCTCATCGTGTTCTCCGCTGTGAGGACTTCTGGGCGACGGTGGGGGCAGTCCGACCTGGGGCCCACGACCTGGGGCCATGACCTGGGGCCATGACCTGGGGCCCATGGGGAGCACAAATCACGTAGGAGGGAAAAGCCAACTTGCCAGCGGCTTTCTGACCTGATGTTGACCACATATTAATCAACCCCAGTTCATAAATATGTAACCCGGGGACAACGGGGACCCCTATGAATCAACTCTGGTTTAATATGGGGTCAACCTAATTGACGCTCTTTCTTTCGTGTTGCCAGGAACAACTCCTCTGGCCGCGTGGGGTTCCTTGCAGACTGGCGGCGCCTCAATGTGATGCTCACTCGCCCGGGGGCCCCGGATCCATCCCGACCGACGGCTTCGGCCGTCGACGCGTCGCATGGCTCCGAGGTGCGCGCCGGGGACTGGTGATCGTGGGCAATGCCTTCACTCTGAGCAAGGAGAAACGGGTATGGGTCAAAATTAAACCACCAGGACACCGCAGGTTTTGGTCCATGTTTCCACTTACCAGGGTTCCAGTTGGGGTTCCCTTTTTTGACCCACAGCCAAACACGCCGGGAAATGCAGTGATGGCTGGAACCAAGCTGTTCGTTGGTATTTGCGGGGTTTCGAATCATTCATTCCGTTGGGTTTCTTAGATGGCGCGAAATATTGTTTTTGTCCATCCGCAGGTCCTCCGCACATTTTCTCATGCGCTCCAGGACTCTAACTGGTCCAACTGGCTGGAGTGGTGCCGGCGACACCGGGTGGTGGTGGACAAAGAGGCCTGGCACGCCGTGGTCCGCGCGGCCAAGAAGGCGGCCCCGAAGCGAGTCAAGCCTTTGGTGCACCACCTCTTCGACTTCGAGCAGGCCGAGAGAGACACCGAAATCGGGATCGGGATCGGTGGCGGGCGGGTTGAACATTGAGCGAATTGTTTGACCGGGTGCGTGTTTTTGCGCCAGGTTCCATCGAGTCCCCTTGAACTCGCCGTTCTGACATCAGGTGTGAGGCTTCCAGTTGGGTTTATGACTTCGCATCCATGTCTTGTAATCGGAGTCAATCAGATGAAAACCCATTTGTGTGTATCAAGAGGGCAAGGCTGGTGTCGTGGTGAGCTCCGCGGTTCAAAAACTCGTATAGTTGGATTTCTTTTGGGGGTGACCGGTCCGCCTTCTGGAGCACTTGGGATCAAGACGGGCTACACTAGCCTTGGCTTTACTCCATTTCACCGGAGATTCGCCCTGCATGCTGCAAGAATCCTTCACTGCAGAGCTCCCCTCCCCCCCCCTCCCCGGACTGCCCCCGACCCCCCCCCCAAAAAATGGTAAAAGTAGGGGGCCTGGGGGGTGGCCTGTTGATGGTTGCCTGTTCTGGTTTTTATGTTCATCTCAAATCTGTGTTCCCCCTTATTCGTTTTTAAAAGAGGGTTTTCGGGGAGCTTATTTATCGTTTTCGTTAAGGTAATCATTTGGGTAAATTGTCGCCTTGTTCATTGTTGGGCTGGGGGCAAACATTTTTTTCATTTGAAAGAGGTAGCCCTTTTAGTAGTTATCAAGTTCTGGGGCGTTGGTGGTGTATTTGTTTTGATATATTTTTTGTCATTGAAAGTTTGTTATAAGTTAAAATTATAGTATAATGAAAGGTTATAAAGATTTACAATGTTTAATCATATTATAATTAAATAATATGAATAAACAAACATCATATTTCATAATTATTAATTGTATGAATTTCAAATTTGATAAAGTCTATCATCACAAGTTGTCTATTGACTAATCTTATTGTGCTCTTTATTTCTTTCACCATCTTTTCAATTGTAATTAGGAGTTCCTCTTTACTTGTCATGATATACTGATTGGATACCATATTACATTTTTCAATACATGTATCATAATTCATTTTTACTCCAACATACATGTTAATCTTTATTTCATCGGTATATCTTATTAGTTTCATAAACTTTTCTGATGGGTTCAATGCGTATGAAAACGCCTTATCGCCTTTTAACTTTTTGTTGTGTATCTCATGGTTATACGTTGTAATTGACTTTTCTGGAGTTTTACGCCGACTGACTACATCATTACTAATAGAAGGTTTCCATTTCCTTTGTAATTCTCTTAAAGCATCACATTGTTTCAGTCTTCGCCACCCTTCACTACCATTAATGTAAGTAGTGATGATTGAAACTAAGCCTTCAGGTAAGCTAGCGCAATTCTCATCCATAAAATTATTCTCTGACATTTTACCCTTACTCATTTTTCTCTTAATATATAAGGCTTTTTCTCTTTAAGTAGTTTTGGCTAGGGGTTGCTGGTCGGCTGGTCTGGGTTTCAGGTTTAATTTAAATGTCTTAACCTCATTGTTAGATTATAAAAACTAGGTTTAATCATATTATAATTGAATAATATCATTAAACTAAATCACTCACGCTTTCCATCCACCTATTCCATCCCACCAGAATTCAATAATTCGCATCTGTCCATCTACTAGACTGTCTTCTGTGTTTAGTTTCCGTATCGCTCCCGATAAGATATAGTGATTAATAATCATAGCATTAAACTGCCCATCTCGGTTTAACTTTTTACCGCAGTCTTTTATGATGTTTTCATCTGTTAGGTTTTCATACATTTCTTTCATGATGTCAAACCTAACAAATGAGTATATTGTCATCAAGTTTAATCCGCTATTATCCCTAAACCTGTTAATAACATCTTTCCAGAATTCTTCGTTTTCATCAACTGATGGCAAAGGGTGTCTTTTGACGAAATCCTTTATTTTGTTTAAATCGTCATCTAATTCCTTTTTATAACTGTCATTATCATCATCTTCTTCGTCTGATAGCACCCAGTTTGATAAGTCAGCAATCACTCCGACATTTTCAGTCATATTTTCACTTAATATAATAAGTTAATATTTCTTTAAGTAGTTTTTTATTTTATGTTAAGGGGCGGGGTTTTTATTGAAAAAATATTTTCTAACAATTTAATATAATGGCGAGATTAACAAAAGACCAAATAATCAGCAACATCTATTACGACTTAGACGAGGGTTTCGGAAGCACACAAGCGACACACAAGAAGGCAAAGGAAGAAGACCCAACAATAACATTAGACGATGTAAAGTCTTTCTTAAAGAAACAGCCAAATAAACAAATCAAAAATTATAGAGGAACTAATTCCTATACCGCTCCATTCGCACGATATGAATATCAAATAGACATAATGCATATGTCTCCTTTAGCAAAAGACAAGAACGTTCCACAGTATGCTTTAGTCGTGATTGACATCTTCAGTAAATTAGCAGATGTAATACCGATGGAGGAAAGAGACGGAGAGCACGTTTTGAAGGCGTTGAGAACAAGCTTTAAAAAGATGGGTTATCCGATGTCCGTGTATTCTGATGACGACGGAGCGTTTGCAACTAAAAATCAAGTTCAGGATTTCTTCAACAGTGAAGGAATAAACCACATCATCACGAAGACCCACGCAAATGTGGCCGAGCGTTTTATTAGAACGATGAAAAACAAAATTCACGATAGAGTTAGGTTTAACAACATGAAATGGACCGACGCCCTAACGCCGGCATTGAAACAGTATAACAGCACATCTCACTCATCAACAAGGATGACACCGACCGATGCACACAAGGACGACAATGAAATAAATGTAAAGGTCAATCTTAAACTACGAGAAAAAAACAAAAGAAAGTATCCCAAAATAGAGGAGAACGACAAGGTAAAAGTGTTCCAAAAGAAAAGGGGTAATTACACCGACAGAAAGGAGTATAACTCTAAATGGTCTAATAAAATATTCAATATTGATAAAATTGAATATGATATTATGGGTAATAAAACTTACAAAGTAGCAGGAATAAACAAACCGCTTTTGAGACACGAAATTTTGTTAGTTAATGATTAAACGTATTTCTTGGTATCTTCTTTATACTTGACTTGATAGTAATCCAGACTTGATTGTTTAGGTTCTTTTATGACTTTTTCATTCAGTTTTTTAACATAAATGTTTCGTTTATTTTTGTATTCGCTACTGTCTCTATCTACTTCTTTTGCTTGATAATTGCTATTGTTATTATATGTAGGTTTAATATTCATGCTCTTTAAGATGTTCAGTATGTTTTCATTTTGCTCCAACACTTTTTCTAATCTTGGAAACAACAACTCTAAACTACTGTCAATGTTCGCTAAATGTTCTTCCATATATACTAAATTATAAAACTAAACTTTTAAAACTAAATGTTGCAATTATGTTAAATCTACTCTTTAAATACTAATTTTTCATTAATTGTTTAACAGTTTCTTGTGTTTCCTTATCACCATTATCGGAAGGTGATGCATGCCTTCCCCATTTGATAGCAATATTATGAACATCTGTTTCTAAGTTTATACTGTCTTTAGTTTTATCAATATTCATTTTCTTATCATTCTTACTTATTTTGAAACTTGTTGGAATACACGAGCATTTACAATTTCCTTTCTTTTGTATTTCTAATTCATTCTTCATTTCTAACATCTTTTTACACATTGGACAAGCAAACTCAATAACTGATGTTTCTTTAACAATTTCTTCTTTTTCTTCATCAGTTGAAGAAACACTTAAACCTGTTTTATTCTTTTTGCTTTTTTTCCTTCCCATCTATATTAATATTTATATTTTTAATATATTGTATTCCTAACTTAATTAATTCTAATGAATAATAACAACATTTCTTAATTTTATTATCGGTTATTATTACTTGTTCTATATTTTCTACTTTATCTATTATATCAATATAATCCGAATAACTTCTATTCATATAAAATAATAAATATAAAATATTTTCTAAATAACTTTAATATTATTTTATTATGTCTGATGTTCCAATAATAAAACCAATAAATATAACTGATTACGATTTCAAACAATCTAAATATGAACATGTACCAAAACTACCTTTTCGCTCAATTGTTGTTGCTTCATCAACGGGTGGCAAAACAGTTTTAATCAAAACCTTATCCTAAATGTTTATAGGGACTGCTTCGCCCGTATATTCATTTTTAGCCCGTCGGTTCATAATGACCCTACCTTCGTTGAAGTCAAGAAATATCAAAAAGATAATATGAAGGTTGATGATGAAAAAGAAAAGTTATATTATGACACCTACCAACCTGAAGAACTGGAAGAAATAATTAACACACAAAGAAAGATAATTCATTATATGAAAGAACAGAAGATGAAGAAACTACATTCAATTTTAATCATTGTTGATGATTTTGCAGACGACCCTAAATTTGTTAGATATAGTAAGTTACTTCATGGACTGGCAACGAGAGGCAGACACGACGCCATTAGTTTTTGCTTAAGTGTTCAAAAATATCGTGTCCTTGCTCCAATCATTAGGTTGAATTCTAGTTCGTTGTATATCTTCAAGTTAAAGAATGTATCAGAGTTAATGTCATTCATTGAGGAAAACTCCGCCATTGTTGATAAAGAGCAACTGTTAAATATGTATCATAAAGCGGTAGATGATAAACCATACTCCTTCTTTTATGTTAATATGAATTCCAAAGATGTTAATAATATGTTTTATGTTAGATTTGAAAAAGCATTTAAAATAAAATAAAGGTTTAAATATATTATGATATTTTATGATTTACCATTAGACATTAAAAACCTTGTATTATCTTATAATTTAGGTGATGTTAGATTATTAAAAATAAAAAAATAATAATATTATTAAAAATTATATTAATAAATTTAAACCAGTGTATAAGTCTTACAAATTAAAGAATTCACAGTATTTTGAAATTGATAATATCAATATGAAAAATATTATCAAAAACGGCATATCATATATTTTTAACTTAAGTGAGTTAGATAAATTACATCAAAAACATAAACCATTAAAATTATTAATTGAATATGATATATTT